GCCAGTCAAGTGACTGAAGGGCTGGAAATCAGCTGCTGGAAAAGTGGATATCACTGAGGTCCAGCAATGACTGCAGGGGAGCACCTGCACGGTTGTGCAGAGTTGCTTGTGTGGCACAGACTCTGAGCTGACTCTGAAACACTGTCTGGGAGAGGAGAGAACTTACTGCACTTCTCTTTCCCCTCCCAGCTGGGAACCAACTCAGCTTCTCCCTTCCTGCCCTCTGTTTATCTCTCCCAGCAGCGGCAGGTTGGTGCACCCATGGAAACCCAGGGCTAGAAAGGAACTCCAGGAACATCCAGGATTGTGCTTCTCCATCCCCGAAAGATGCTCATCAAATCTCTCCACAAGACCCTGCAGTGACAGAGGCCCCACCACCTTCCCAGGGTGGATTGCTGGCAGGAACTCTTCCCAGTGGCAAACTCAAGGTGGCCTTGGCACCACGCAGAGACCCTCAAGTACCTTGCAGACTGTGCACTCGGGGACAGACCTTGGCATTCTTGTGACAGTGTGATTTGCTCCACGCTCGGCTTGTGAGCATAGTCCGCATCCTTTCCGGATGAATCACTCTCCACTGCCGCTGTCAACCTTGAGCCCAACAGAGAAACCTTATTATTTTTTTCCCCCTGATTGTTTCTGGCCAAGCAGTGACTCAGCTGTCAGAGGTGAATAACTCTTCACGCTTTATCCGAACACTCATTAACCATCCAGAGCCATAAAAAGCAATTTCTTCCAGAGCTCTCCCTCCATAAAGCTGGATTTCAAAGCAAGAGGGCTGGCCTGAGATTTAGTGGGAAATTCATAAAGATGCTCAATAAATATTGATCTGCAGAGCATGGAAGGCTTGTATGGTTCTGGGTCAAATGGCAGAGGGTTTTATCAGCAGGGAATGAGGGTCTGGACAGAAAAGAGAGGCAGATCCTACCCGCAGCACATTGCAAAGCCTACAGCCACCGCATGGAAATCATTAACAACAAAAATCTGCTACCCCAGGCATTTGCCTGACTCCTACGCCTGCCCCAGGACGTGCTGCTGTTTCATTTCTCTCCTTTTTCTTTGTCTTCTTTCTCTGAAATCTCAGCAGCGAGGATTTCCTCATCTTCTTGTGCTGTGGGAATCACACGAACGGTGACTAAATGATCAGAAGATTCTGAGGATATTTCTCCTGGGCGGGTTTGCCCTTTGTGGGAGGTGACAGGCGATCTCTGGTGCACTGGTGACTTTGGTGGGGTTGGACTGAAACTGGAACCCTGCAATAAAAACAAACAAAAAAGGTGAAATCAACCTTAGCAGACACTTGGCCAGTACCCCCAACAGAGTGTCTGCGCTGTGCAAAGGCAGGCAGCTGTTCTGTGGTTCCACCACATACATTGGGATGTCAGTTTGTTGCCAGTTGCCCCCTGCAAGAGGGGTAGCTGGATTATATCCTGCATGTCTTGGGAAACACATAGCGAGGAGTGCAACAGAGCCTTCTCACACCTCCTGCACTAGCTCTTGCTTTGCTCCTGAAGCATCTGGAGGGGCTGATCTGGGCTAAACGTGGCAGAAGTGGTGTTGGTTCCCAAAATGTGCACCCTTCAGTGACAGGTCTTGTTGCCACTACCCTATGGAACCTGAAGTGCCTCTGTTCACCACTGCCATGAACTGGTCGTGAATTAGTGCTGAACACCACATTTGTGAATGTTGTGCCTCTATGAAGGCCTGCAGAAATGCAGCTATGCCTGGCATCTCCCTGGCTGTTTACCCAGCCTCAAGGCCACCCCTCCCTATCAGCCACTCTTCCACCTCCCTCTACGTGTCCAGATGTGATAGCCTGCGTGGTTCCATGCTGGGGAGAGTAACAACAGGACAAAACTTTGTTTTCAAGTTTAGCTGAGACAGTTGGAAGAAAAAAGAAAAAAAAAGCAGGAGGTTTCATGCAGAGCTAGTGGGAGAGCAGTGCCTGCTGTGGGGGCCTCTGCCCCAGCTGTGCCAGGAAAGCTTTGATATATTGACTGGGCTGTGGGTGCTCGGTGCCAGCACTGCCCTCTGTCCCGCCAGCACATCGATTAACTATGAGAGGCTCTGTCTCTGCAGGATGGAAGAGGCATTCATTCCATCTGTGGCTACAGCCCAGCTAGAAATTACACTCAGGCTTAGCAGAGCTAGGCAAAAAGTCAGTGTACTACACTTCTGTGTTGCAAAACAAACCCCTGTGGGACACTGGCATTCTCCCAAGGCCCTGTTGGAGATGTTGGGTCACCCCTTCCCATCTGCCCACGCTGTGTCAGTGCCTGATGACCTGAGCTCACTTCCTTAAGGCACCTTAACGACTCTGAAGCCCGTGGTGGGGGGAGGGAGCAGAGACTCGGCATCTAAAGAAGGAGAGCTAAACTTCCATCCTTCCCATGCTGACCTGCGCCGCCTGCATCTCCTTCAGCTCCCTCAGCCTCCAGCGGAGCCGCCCCAGCGGCCCTTTCCCCCCCATCCTCCCCGTGGCAGCCAGGGCAGCCTTGAAGAGCTTCGGGGTCTCAGCTTTTGGGGGAATGATCAGCGCGTCTCCAGGGCCTCCCTTCTCATCTTTGGGTTTGTTGTTGCTTTTCAGCATTTTCCTACAGCAAGGAAAGGGAGAGATGATGTCAGCCCGGGAACGTGTTCTATTAGCTGGATTTTACAGAGAGGAAAAAACAGGCGTTAAAAGGGCGGGGATTTGTTATGCCTTAGGAAGGACAGAATAATTAGTGCTAAAAATTAAATACTTTAATAGATTTTTAAACGAAGGCACTCTGGCCACGTTCGTTCCCCAGCTCCACCCGCTTTTAGTGGCGAAGGTTCAGAGTAGGGCTGGGGCAGCCCCAGCCTCCCCAGCCCAGCGACGAGGGACGGGTGCCCTCTGCCGAGGCACAGCGGATCCAGCCCGGAGCGGGAGCCGCCTCTGGGAGAGAGAACCCAGCACCTGCAGCAGGAGCTTTCCCGGGGCTTCGCACAGAGGGAAATCTCCTCTGAGATTCTGATATCCAGGCTCTGCTATTTTTAAAAACCCCACGCACTTGGCCTTCTTACGCAGCAGCTTCTGAGACTCCGGATAGTGCACCAAAATCTCGTTCAAGTCCTTCTTCTCCAGAATGAAAAGGTTCGCGAAGCCGTGAGCTATGACGTTTGCTGTTCGGCGGTTTCCCCCTCCTGCCGCCAGCAAGCTGAGAGAGACACGGCAAGATGTCAGTGCTTCTGTTCACAGGCTCAGCACAACTTCAGGTCTCCTTTTATACGCCTCCATCTCTCTCTTTCAGAGGACTCAGAGCGTAATTTTCACTCCCGATGGAATTTCCCATATCTAATTTTTGAAGGAAATTTGCATACTGCACTATATAAAAAATTATTTGGGGGTTTGAAGGCTTGAATGTTGCATTTTACACCAGTCCAGTGGCTGCTGGGCTGTAGGGAGGCAGCAGCATCCCTGTGTTACAGACTGGTACAGGACATTGCATGCCCATGAAATGGGTGGATTAAATGGTTGTGAGACTTTTTGTGAAACATCTTTTCTTATTCATTTTCTCACCCCTCCATCCAGGTACCTCTGCTTAACATCATCAGCTCCCCAGGCTGAAAACAACATGATGACAAAAACAGCAGAAAAGCTCCAAGGAAAAATCCTGTAATCTGTGTCTCAGCCGCTGCCCAGTGTTTATGGCTCTCAATCACAAAGATAATTGGGATGGTGCTGATCCTTCCACTTCCCACCTTCCTCTCCCGGAGCCCACGAGTGTATTTCCCTGAAAATGCTTCTCTCACCTGATTTCTCCAAACACGGATCCAGCTTTCAGAGTCACCAGCACGGATTTGCCGTCGGGTCCCCCCAGCACCTGCACTTGTCCCGCCTGGATAATGTACATCTCACGGCCTATTTCTCCCTGCAGGGAAGAGGGGTGCTGGGGGGCATGCCCAGAAACAGGGAGGCCTCATGGATGCCCTAACCAGCATCTTGCTGGAAACTCCCATGACCATACTGCCCTCTCCAAGCTCCCAAAATTCTTTGTCTTGATGGTGTTTACTCCCGAGCACCATCTAAGCACCCCAAGGTCTCCTGCAGCTCAACAGGCTCTTCCCTGGTCTCCTGCTGTTAATGGCTGCAACCAAGGACGATTTTGCTCCAAATTCCCTCCCTGTGAAGTGGCTCAACACCAGGGTGATGGGCCAGGCCTGGCTTTCCCCTAGTGCCCTGCACAGCCTGGCTGTAACACCGGGCATGGGAGGGCACCCAAGCATCACATGTCACATTACCTTCTTGCACACGTAGTCATTAGGCAGGTAGACCACCGATCTGAGCCGCTTCAGCATGTCAAAGATCATCTGTCTGTCACAACCCTGAGCCAAAATAGAGCCAACATGGTGTAAGTCTGTGTCAGCATGGCAGGCTCTGTCAGGCAGGACCCGTGCTGCAGGGGATACCTGGAAAAGGGCCACTTTGCTCACGATGTTGTAGTTCACATCGATGGCGATGTCCAGCCTCATCTTGTCTGGTAGCTGCACCAGCAGCTCTGACTCATCTGTGAGACAAAGCAGAAAACTGGCTGTTTCCAGCTCTTGATATGAGAGCACGTCCTTGACGTGGCAGTAGGGAAGCAACTCACATTCCAGTGGCAGAGGGCAGGAGCCAGCTCTCCCAGAAGGGTCCCCTCCAGCCTCTGCCCACCCAGCAACCTGCAGGTCTAAATCCAAGGGGCAATGGAGAACCACCCTTCACGTTATCCCTGCCCTGATGGCTGTCAGACACACCACTGAGCCCAAGCCATCATCTTTCTTGCCCAGGAGGATGGGCACCGAGGTCCTGGTCCTGCCTGGTACGGTGAGCTGGTATCTTTGCTGCTGGACACATTCTGGCCAGTGATTGCCAGTCACTGCCCTCTCCCCAGGGACCAGCATGTGGGACACTGGACTCAGTGTGCTATGAGTGATGCCAGGTCACCAAAGTGCTGTGAGCCACTAGTGAAGAGCAAAAGAAGTCACCCTACACCCCAAAACTGCAGAGCTATTTGACAGTAACATTTCAGCCCTGCAAAACAACCACAGTAAAACACAGCCCTTGGAGTGGCTGGGTCTCACCTAGCATGCCTTGCGAGTGCCACGTGTACTCATACCACGTTTTCACCCGGTTCTGAACAGTTCTGGGGATTTTGTAGAAGTTCATGTATTTAATGGTACTGTCCATGCAGCTCCTGTAGTAAGTTTGCCCTGCAGTAGCGGCACCAACCACGTCTCTCATCTGAACGGAAGAGGTGGGAGAAAAGTTTTAGTTGCTGTCACTTATCCATCACTCGAGCAGTCTAGAGTGTGTAAACTGAGCCCTAACAGCACCCAGCAAGTACTTTTTGTCTTGCACCAGTGCCAAGCAGGTCCTCAAATGGGAAAAACAAACCTGAAGATGCAAACCTGTGGATCAACCACACTGCAACCATCCCCACCTGAGGCTGGGAACCCTCCACGACTCCCACTCACCTGCCCTATCATGACAGAGAAAGCAAAGACGCCTGTGAAGTAGTTCAGCAGCTGGAAGACAATCTCAAACAGTGTCTTGGGGTCTGGCAGGCCCCCGATGGTGATGAGGGTTTTGACTGCCCAGTAGTAGCAGCGGATGTAGCTGGGAGGGAAAGAGGAGGCAGCTCTGAAGGCATTTCTGGCATGAAGGCCTGTTTCACCCCTCTGCACTGAGCTCACATCCTCTGGCCATGGCAAGCCAGAGCCTGCTGAGAGTAATTATGGGTGACAGAGGGAAAAACTGAAGGGCTTCAGACTCCCCACCACACCTGCAGGTGCTTCTGGAGGTGCTACAGGAGCAGGGGGACCTATAGATTCTCCAGAAACCTCCATGTAGGAGGCTCAGCTGCTCTGGCTGCTCCTTACAGCGCCACTGCCATAAACCAGCAATGTGTTTTCAGCAACATTTTTACACTTTCAGAAATCATCAGGGGAGAATAAGGGTTTGTGAACAAATTGTTAGCAAAGGACGCTCCACATCTTCTCCTGGCACTCCCAACCCTTTCCTTCCAGGGTTTTTATGAATCCAGCTGCACCCCAACACATCCCTTATTATTTCAGCTCATCCCAGCAGGCTGTGCTGTGTAAGATCCAAGCCCTGGCTTGTACCTGTTTCCTTCCCCATCATAGACCCAGGTGGTAGAGCCCAGTCCTTCATAAGCTGAGGCCCAGTAGTAGAGGCAGGAGTTCACATGCAAGCTGTACAGTAAGTAGGCAGTTGTTCGAATCACTCTGCAAAAAGAACCAGGAGAGAGCAGAAAAGGAGATGATATGGTGTCTTCTGGGAGAAATATGTCCCCACTACCACCCCCAGCATCACAAGGAGCCTCAAAACGATGAGAGAGAAGTCCTGCCATTGCAGGAATCACAGAGCACCCAAACATACGTGTTCCCTCCTGCAGCCCCGCAGCTCTAGAAGAGCCAGAAAAAACTGTGAGAGAGATGATCCTACCCACATGGGCTTGGGGAGCCCCACATGCTGCTTCATCAGCCAACATCCACATCAGCCAGCCCAGGGGTGGCAGGAAAATAACCCAGGAGCCCAGAACTGGTGCACACCAAAGTGAATCTTCCTCCCCAGTGGCAAACAGCAACTCCACACTCCCTCCTTCCCTTGGCCCCCCCTCACCTGTAGATGTATGCCTTGGTCAGGATGGCCTCCAGGCGGTTGTTGAACTCGAAGAAGGCCATGTACTGGGAGGAGAAGGAAAGCAACATGCTCCAGCTTCCTGCAGCCCCCACTGGGACAGTCCCCTCCCCATAAAGCCCCACTGCCCCTCTGCTTCCCTCTTGCAGCCCCCTTGCAGCACAGGCTGCCACGGACAGATTTGGGTCCATCTATAAGTGCCCTTCTATTCAAATGTGAGCATGGCTTAGTATTGAAATGAAGATTTGGCAAACAGCACTGCAAAGCCTTTGGGATAAGACTTCCCTTACATTTTACAATCCTCTTGTCATTATTAACGAGTTTAGCAAGCCACAGTTCACACCAGCAGCACAGAACTCCTCCAAATCCACTGTAGGTGCTATTCTGCCTGATTTTGTAAACTCCAACTCACCTTCAGACATCGAGGGAAGCGCAGGAGTGGGTTGACACCAATTTTGAAGTAGAAGAAATCCAGGGGCAGGAGGCACAGCACATCCATCTGAAATCCACACAAAAAGAGAAGCCTCTGAGGGGACCTGCAGGTGCACTGGGATGGGGCTGCAAACCACGGGGCAGATTAAAGATTCAGATTAATATATAAAATTATGGCAAACCTTAAAACGTTGTGATCTCAGGTAGTTCTCTTTCATGGCCTTTTTATCAGTCTGGTTGGGAACAGGAAGAAGAGAGAGAGAGAGGGGAAGATTGATCGTTGCTTACAGAAAGCAAAGTCATGGCCAACATGCTCATGCCTGGTTTTCCCTTTCTGCACCATAACAGGGAAGATTTTCCCTTCATTTCCAGGAATGGGAGCAGAACAAGACAAGCAGAAGACCTGGCCATATGCCATCTTCCCATCCTATCTTTGGACATCCTGTGCTTGTTTTGCATCCCAGAGAAAGCACATCACAGTGGCAACCTCACAAAAACCAGAGTTTACAGGAGAAACCTGCCTGCCTGAGCATCTGCATGGCCATGGGAAGGCTGTACCCTCAAGGTTTGATTTTTCACAGCTTATTTAACTGAATTTGGAAACAAAATCAAGGGCTTTCCCTCTTCTCAGGCACGTGATCTATGTGTTCAGATTGCAATTGCTAATGCATTCTGCCCAGCCTGCTCCTGAAAATCAAACTCAAGAGTTTTTTATGCCCATGCCCATGGTTAGCAGGGCACAACCACACCAGGGCTGGTCAGTGAGCACCTCACACCATGGGCAGAACAACCCCACAGAGCAGCACCCTCCTGGCATCCCTTCCCAGGAACGGGGCTGCCACGGACCATGCATTTTCTAGATGGGCTGGTATTGCCTTTAGGGGACAAATAATGTGTTTGGCAGACAAAAAGATAGCTGGCTTATCCACCACGTGTCAGGAGAGATGCTTGCAGTCTCCAAGAGTGTCCACAGCTGTGGTGGGAGAGCTCAAGTCAGAGGTCTGAGGATGGGGATGGGAGGCCCCCCCAGCCGGTCCCCGCAGTGGTGGATGCAGCGTGTGCCACTCACGATGATGTCTCCCCCCTGGACGAACTGCAGCCGGGTCTGGAAAACGAGGATGTCCAGCAGGTAGATGAGGTCGCACAGGTAGTCCACCAGCAGCCAGCAGTGGATATTTGCTGGGGTCTGGTAGGGGAAAGCCCAGCGGACGGGGATCAACCAGCAGTTCCAGTTCCAGGCCATGACAACGAAGAACAGCCACAGCACATACATCAGATCTGCACACAGGGAACAGCACCACAGTCAGCTGGGCAGACATCCCAGGGTTTTCATGCCCTGACCTGCCCTGAGCACAGCTTGGAACCCTGCAGGAGGTCTCTTGGTGACAGCATTTAGCCGCAGGTGAGCTGGGCTCTGGTGCAGAGTGAACAGCACCAGTCACAGAGCACACCGTGTTTTGTTGGGAAGCTTCCAGCTTTGCTCATTCAACTAGGTTTGCTTTTCCTTTGCTGCCACAACACAGACTTCCCTGTTTTGCTTTTCCCCCTGCAGCCATGCTGAACTGATGGCCTGAGCCCAGGGGTTTCCAAAGGGATGGGGAATAGCAGAGGCTAAGGAAAGAGCTGGGCTCCTGTGGAGTAGCCACCAGGCAGCTGATATTTCTTTTGTGACTTTTATTTTTATTTGGGGTATCCACACCACAGGGACAGTGTTTTCCCACTAAAAAGCCTGAAAGCAGAAGGTGGCTGTCCCTTCCCTGCCTGGCTGTGCTCCTGACACCCACAGCTGTCAGGAAATATTTAGGAAAGCCTATGCCTTGCAGCGGGATTTAAAACTCTAGGCTTTAGTGAAAGCTAAGTTGCTTCTTGCTTAGTTCTGTAAGATCTATAAGATCTCCTCTCCTGCACCTTCTCCCCTGCCCATCCCCTCTCCCCTGGTCCCACCAGCTTGCCCCCAGCCCAGGCATGAGGCTGTGCTCCATCACTCACTGGTGAGTGGGTCGATGCTGCTGGGGAACTGGTAGCTTTTCAGGCGGTCCAGCCAGGGCCGGTACTTGAAGGTGCAGCACAGCATCTCACAGTAGTGGTCATCCCCTGATGGCTTGTCCCCCTCCACCTCCCCTCCCGGGGGAGGCACCGGGGCTGCTGCAGGCGCTGGCTTAGCGGGCGCTGGGAGAGGTTAAAGTGGAGAAAAAAAAATTTTGTTACTGCAATTTGTTTTAAGGTCTTTAAACTGTAAACAAAACATCTGTCTCCTGGAAAACACAGCGTGCGTGGGGACCCACCAGCGGAACGCTCCCAGCCCCGCTGGAACTCACATGCCACAGGGCTCTCGTCATCCGAGGTGACATCGGGGTCAATCAGCTTCTCTTTCACCTTCTCGGTCCTCTCTTTGAAGAGCTTCACCAGTTCCTGGAGCCGGGTGTTGATGATGGCACTGCTCAGGCTCGTGGCCGAGCCGATGCGCTCGGGCAGGCTGCGGGCAAACCATCGGGTGTTTCATGCAGGCAGGAAAACACCAGGGCAGGTTCACAGAATCACAGAATCCTGGAATGGTTTGGCTTGGAACTGACCTTAAAGCTCAACTCATACCAACCCCTCTGCCATGGGCAGGGACACCTTCCAGTAGACCAGGTTTCTCCAAGCCCCATCCATCCTGGCCTTGAACCACGGCCATGACCCATCCTTTAACTCATAGGACCTGAATTAGGATTTACCCATATTTATTTGGGTACTGTCTAATGAGAAGAACACAAGCTAAGGTGGTTTCAGTAAAAGATCATCGAGCAGCACGAACCTGAGCCTCATCTGTTCCCTGGGATGCGAGATGCTGTCAGGAGGCTTGGGAAGCACCAAGATCCCAGGCTGGATTGCATGTGCTTGGGAGAATACGATTTTGGAAGAACTATGGGGTGAAAATGTGCATCAAGCCCCTGAATTTATAAACTATATCTTCTCTTTTCAGCCTCTTCATTAGAACCAGTTTGGATTCAGACCAAGATGCTTCACTTAGCATGGCTGAGAAGCATCAGCAGGGGGGAGGACAAAAACAATCTCGTTTGCTGTAGCCCTGGCTGGTTTGTTGTGATGACTGGAAAAAGGCAAAACCATGCTCCCTGTGGAGTGTGCCTCCCAAGGAGGGCAGCTCCCTCCAAGGCTGTCCCTGGGGCTGTGGGGAAGCCAGGGCTTGGAGTATGTGATGCACAGCTTTTGCTCACTTTCTGCATGGAAGAAAAGGGTCATTTCTCCACAGTCAGTAAAAACAAGGTGTCCCCACAGTGCTATAGCATATGTAGATCAAAGGTGCATTTTCTCTGCAGTTACACCTAGAGTTAAAGAGGATATTTCTACATGTATACAGGAAAAACAAGAGAACAGTTTCTGCTCCAGTGAGCACCACGATCATAATTTTTGGAGAGGGGGTGCTTTCCTCGTTAAGCAGCACTAGAACCACTGCGGGCATGGCTCCCTCTCCCTTTGGTATCCTGGCACTTGTAGGATCTTTGTTATTTTCACCCGAGTCCCAGGATCCAAACCCCTGGAATTCAGCTGATCTGGAGCCCCCAGGTCCCACCACGCACCTTTCCCTCTGCTCCTCGTCCCAGCTCACCAGTCCCTCATCCAGACCATCCTCTGGGACCAGTCGCCTCCTCCTGCAGACACAAACACAGCGACCAAGGATCAGCTTGTCTCCCATCCTCAGCCAGCTCTTCTCCCTCCTCCTCTTCCTCCCAGGGGTCATCTGTTTTCCCCTTCCCCTTCTCCTGCTAGGGTCAGTTTTCCCCTTTTCCTTTGCTGCTAAAGCCATGTTTCTTCCCAGTGACCACTGAGCCCTTGGCTCCATAGGCATACAGCCACCCAGCCCACTTTGGAACCCGTTTGGGACACCTGGCAAGATGTATAGAGGGCAGGCACTACTCTGTGCTTGTCCTCAGTGCTGCACTGTCACATCACTGCACTTCAAGTGGCAGGCAAGGAAAGTGCAATCCCAGGAATACCTATGTGTCCTAACACAGCTGGTGGCTCCCCTTGGCACAGATGGTTTTCTGAGACAACTTCCTTACATGTGGGCAGGCAAAGTGGCAGAAGGAGAGCTGAATATGAAGATGGCAATCACAACAAAATTTGGACTGGTTTGCAAACCTTCACCAAGCCCAGCATTTCAGCTGCAACAAAGAAATGGTCTCCTGCCCCCACAGCTGCTGATCCCACTGGCCCTGGTACAAAATGGCTCAGTGCTGCATGTGGAGCAGGAACAAGCAGGACACTTGCAGGGAGGTTGTCCTGCCATCACAAGTCTCTTGAAGAATGCCAAATGCTGTGAGCCCACCACCTCCAGCCTCACTGGCTCTCAGGTGTGTCCTGCTGGGAGGGAGAGCAGGTAAACAAGACTCATAAACTTTCATTCCCCAAGTGCACAGCAGCAGGGGGGTGGAAGAAAACCACCAGCCCCACTGGTACTTTCATATGTCAGTGGAGAGGTTTCCAAAACCCTACTTGGAGAAATAGTCCTGCCAGGGTCTGTATCGTTGTTAGGACAACATCCATCACCTCTCACCAGCCTCCAGCTGCCCTTCCCCTGCCTCTGTGCCCTCAGGGTACCATGCTGCCCCACTGGCCCGTCCTCATCCCTGATCAAGCCCAGGATGCCCACACTGATAGGCTCTTGCTCTGTCAGGGAGACTCTGCAGCACCTGGCCCACACACAACCACCCACTGCACAGCCAGCTGGGACAGAAGGCCACGTCACAGCCCAAACATTGCTCTGTTTTTGTGGCCCTTGGAATGCTGCAGCCAGAGGCCATCGGCATCCGGCTGTCCTGCGCCTGCCTGGACGTGTGGGACGCGCAGGGTCCCTGCCCATATGGGATCAGCTGGAATATCCTGGTATTTACTGTCTGCAACAGCATGTTTTGAGGCTCCAGTTACACAACGTGTGGCTCATTAACGGTGAGTCTTTTATGACTCTGTCCAAACCACGTTCACTCTAATCCTTCACAGACCCATGTAGGAAATAACTCAAGACTGTGGCCAATAGAAGTGACTTAGGGATAACTGGGTGACTGCTCAATGAAGAACTGATGTCCTCTTACTCTGGAAAAACCAGCAGGAGAGGAGCATTTTTCTTCTGGTTCAGAATGATTAAATTTTATTTTTTTGTGTAGGAGAACGGCAGTTTCTTGCCTTTAAAAATCTCCAGCTCTACCAAGGGACCTCCTCCAGTGTTGTTTTGAGACAGTCCCTGGAGACACAGCAGAAAGGTTTATATGCTCACATGTGTAACTGCAAATATACTCAATGCTGTCAGTATTTGCACTGCAGAGATTGTACATGAAGCCTTGGGGCTCTTCTTTCCCAGTTTGAAAAGCTGTTCAACAGGCTGGATTATGGACATTTTCGCCATTTCATTTGGTCCTCCAGGAGCTTGTTTATTAAAAGATCTAAATTATTAAGTGAGAATGACTATAGGGTTTTCAGCATGGAAAAAACCACTTTGGTTTTGAATTTTAATCCTCTGCAAGAATGAACTTCGAAAAAACCCACCCCAACAACAGACAAAAAAGCATCAGCTTCCTCCAGCCTAAATTTTAAAGCTCAGTTTTAATCCCTCTGAGAATAGAATCACTGAATGTTTTGGAAGGGACCTTAAAAGTCCAATCCCCTGTGACAGGCAGGGACACCTTCCACTAGGTCAGGTTGCTCAAAGCCCCATCCAACCTGGCCTTGAACACTTCAAGGAAAGGGGCATCTGCCATCCATCTGAAAGCACAAACCCAGGGGGAGATGCTGCAAACCCTTTCAGCAAAAATACAAGAAAATTATAGGGTTTGTGATGAAGGCCCAGATCCAGCATACAAACTCCCCACGCTCTGAATTTGGGAGCACAGACACTTGAGACAACAGACAAATGGGATCCAATCATGGCCTGGGGATCGAGCCCATCTCCAGGAGGACACACAGACAGGGCTGTCCCTGGCCCTCAAAAGCCTTAAACAAAATTTAACCACTTAATTAAAAAAATGCAAACAGCAGGTGAGGCTTTTGCCATCTCCTCTGCCGTGCACAGGGGCGACTCCCGCCCCACGCACATCACCCTGGCTCACTGTCCAAACCTGCTGGAAGTGGGCTGCTCCGTATGGTTACAGAAATTTTCCTGTACTGGCACCACCAGGGGGTGAGACCCCCGGGGCCGGGGACCGCGTCTGGGCAGAGCCATACCTGGGGGATGCTGCGCCGGGCACCGCCAGCCTGTTGGGAGCGCTGGCAGCGGGCACCGGCAAGTGGGTACCATCGTTCTCTGCAGCATCGCCTCGGCTGTCCACATCCTTGATCTCCACGGTGGGGTAATTACCTGCTCCGTGGGGAAGGACAATAGTTGCAGGTGAGGGGGGTGCAGAGCCCTGGCTGCAGCCAGGATGGCTCCCTAAACCCCATTGCTGCCGCAGTGCTGCCCTCAGACCTTGCAGTGTGCTGGGAGGACTCTCCTTCTCCCTCCATTCCCTTCTCGCCTGGTACTCCTTTCTCCTAACAGTTTGGAGTATTTCTTTCTCTCTCTCTTTTTTTTTTTTTTTTTTTTTTTTTTTTCCCAAGTTTTAAAAACTTAAAAAAAACCAACCTGCTTCCCTTCTGCATGCCCAGATTGCAGTGATTTCATCTACTCCATCTGGGTGTTGGGTTCCCATGGTTTGGAGAACAATGGAGATTAGGATTCCCAGCTATAGGTGTTATGCAGGGACACAGGATTTCCAAGTGCAAACTTGCCTTCCAGGGTCTAGAAATTCTCTTGGGTCTTCTGAACATAAACATGTGGATCATGACAGCTCCAAATCACACAGCACTTGCTTTTCATGCAGAATAAGGCACTATTTAAATAAATATTTATGGCTTCTCTCTTTTGCAGAGGTAATAACTGCTTCCTGCCACAGGCAGGGTTAGAAGCAGGAGGGTTGGATGTTTTTAGTGGGTAAAGAAAGATGCCAGTTGTCCAAAGAAGAAAATGGTGCTGCGAGTTGCCTTGGCCAGGCCCCACAGTTGGCTTGGCTGTGAAGTGTCATCTCTTTTCTTAGCCATTTAACAAAATACAATGAGTTCCTGCAGGATTTCTTCTGTGGGAGGTTTTCACACATCTGAAAGACCCTGTGCACCCCCTCCTGTTTCATGCTGATGTGGAACTAGTGGATCAGAGCTCGGCTTGATTAAATCCCCGAGAAATCTGCCTGTTCGGGTTGCAAAGTTAAAATCCTGTTGCATGTAAGGAAAAGCAGCAGAATTTGACTTGCTGGTGAAAAACAAAGCAAAGCAAAGCTGCAGAAAAGGCAGAAAGCCATGAACAGCAAGCCTCCACCTTCCTGTCCTCGTAGTATGAGCAGGTTGCATGAATGCTAGAGAGAAAACAGTGTGTGTGGTGATATTGCACCCTCTGCCTGCAGGTCCTTCGGGAGAGCTTTTGACAGAGCAGGTCAAAACACACAGCATTTGCAAACGCTCTGTAGAGTTAGCTAAAAAAGCAAAAAAGGAAGAAACAAAAACAAAAAAAAAAAGGAATTTTTTTCCCCCAACCCCCGGGCCGCAACAAGAAACCGGCCTTTAATTTTAATTTTTTTTTTCTCCCTCCGAAAGCAACAAAAAGCGACTACTCCGGGAGTCACCCCCTGCCCGTCTCTACGCAAAGCCCGTCGTCAAAGCCAACTCATCTCTAATACCTAGAGGGGATTGCTCCTCATGGCAAAAATTGGGGTTGACAACTCCGGCCTTTGGCCTGCTGGCGGCAGGGACGGGGGCGCGGGAGGCGGCGGCTCGGTAGCTGGGGACATTGGGGAGCAGCTCTAGGGCCCCGCGGCTGGCAGGGGAGGGCTCCCCGCCATCGAGCGGCTTGTCATGCACCAGCTGGTCTAGCTCGACGTCCCGGGCCCGCCTGGCCATGCTGCTAGGAGCCTAGGTGCTTCAAGCAAAGTACAAGGCATCTGAAGCTGCAACAAAACACAGAGTGGTTTTGAGTGGTTTTACGTCGCGGTTAAAAAAACGCGGGGCTGCCGCGGGCACTGGGGCTGCCCCGCTGCTCACAGGTGTTGGCAGCACAGGGCTGCAGTGGTGGCCGTCCTACTGTGCCCTTTTTTATAGAATCACAGAATGTTAAGGGTTGGAATGACCTTGGAGGTCATCTAGTCCCATCCTCCCCTGCCATGGGCAGGGACACCTCCCACTAGACCAGGTTGCCCGAAGCCTTATCCAACCTGGCCTGGAACACTGCCATCCACAACCTCCCTGTTCCGGTATCTCATCACCCTCACAATAAAGAATTTCTTCCTTTTATCTAACCTAAATTTCTCCTCCTTCAATTTTTACCCATTACTCCTTGTTCTATCACTGTAGTTCCTGATGAACCAGCATTTTCTAGCATTGCTGCAAAATGGGGGTGCCCTGCATGGTCTGCATCAGCCTGCACCAAGACTCAGGGCAAGCCATTCCCTGTGCAACTCCCTGACATCTGTGCAGTTATGCCAGGACCTACCTTTGCTCGCTCAGGCTGTGATGGGAGTTCACCATCTAATTTTCATTGCCAACCCATTGCTTCCTAAAAGGCTACATTAAAATGTTCTTTATGCCACCTGTTATTCCCCAAATCAAAGTGGTAGAGAAAATCCTTTTTATCCCTGTGCTTTCTCCAGCTGAAGGAGAAACCCTAATTTCACGTCAGGGATTGCTTAATCAGCAGGACTCAGCACTGCACAAGCACCAGCCATTCAGAGCTGGCTCCAGCCCATGCCAATGTTGCCACCATGCTGCACCCTCGGGATGCTGTGCCCACGGGATGCTTTACCCCAGTGAAAAGCCCCAACTGCCCATGCAGGCCCATGCTGCAGAGAACTCAGCTGCCTGCTCCCCAACAGCAGGGAAGGAGAAGCTGGATTCTCCTCCCATCAGGCATCACATTGCCTGCTTTGATTCATCCCCATTTGGTGTTATACTGCTACATGTTATACCTTCAGCATTGGTTTCAGCAGCTTCAGCTGTCTTCTCTTCCACCTTCAAAATGAAAAAAGCCATTTTAAGGAGAAAAAGCCCTACTCTGTTAGTAAAAGAGCAAATTTTGCAGCTTGACTGGATTCCCCATATCGACCCTCTTTGCCAGACTCTCAGCTTCTTGTTCAGTGACAACTTTGTAGAGTGAAACAGCCCCCCCTCCATCCACAGCTAATGCTGCTGGCTCAGCTTCAGGGATGGGGACATCTTGGTGGGAAACACGTCCAGTGCCCAGCCCAGTTCCTGCTCCTCCCAGGGCACTGCATCCCCCTGGACAAACTCTGAGCCCCTGGTACTCACTGGACAGCAAGAGCTCATTGCAGACCTGAGCCCAGGCAGGGAGCGATGCCATACCTGTACAAGAGCACCTTCGAGGTTACTTATCTCAGCTACTGCCTGCTGCTCAAACTTGAGGGCCTCCTCGGCAATGTAGGATTCATCCACACCATTGGTAGTTGGGAGAGAAGAGAGCAGGGACCTGGGAGGGAGAGAAAAAATACTGTGTAGGAGACCAGGTGAGAGGTGCATAGACAAAGCAGGGCATTGCATGTGCACAAGCTAAAATTGCAGAGGCAGAAAGATGCAAGCAGCATGTTTCTCCTCCTGTGCATAATCATTTCTCATATAATTAAAATTTGCCAAATAAAAAGCCCAAAGCCTAATTTCCAGGCAGGGCTTTCCCAAAAGCACCATCCAAATCCCATGTTTGCCTGTGCAAGGCACTACCAGGACACATAATTCTCATTTTCTTTCAGCAGCAAGTGCAGACCTCAGCTCCACCATTCTGACAAAGGGGTTCACAAGATCTAATTTATTGCTTTAATATAGCCTATAACTGAAAATAAGCACTTCACATGTGGCTCTGTGCACTTATCTCCTGATTTGTTCCTTCCTGGAAAGAAATGCAAAGCAGGGATAGGTGACAATGAGAAAAATTTTAAGACAGCTAAATGCATGAAAATCGAGAAACCATCTTTCTGTATCCTTAGCAGGTGCAAAGTCAGAAAAGGTATGTCACGAGGAGTGGTTGCTCTTTCTCTTTTACCTCCATGTCTTCAAAACCTGTTGTTTTCCAAGGTATTTTTAAAAGTATTTTTAATAATTCCCCCCCTTTTTAATTTTAATTATGCTCCCTTTAAACACAATTGTAAGTCCTTCCATCCTTATCTAGAAAACCTGTTGGTTTCTCTCTTGTTTCCCAATAAACAAACACATTGAAATATGAAGCATCATCTCATTCACCCCACAACTGAAGCTCAAGTTTCTATAGTGAAGCTTCAGGAACAGATTTTGATGAAATACAAACATATGGGTCTGATAGTGAATAATCAAGCGTTTTCAGCTTCTTCCTGAAAATCTGGCTACTTTAGAGGAATTAACAGAGAATAATATTGTAACATCAGGTAATAAATCCCTGAATGTTTATCTCATGTGAAATCCGAGCAAACTACCTAACTAAGCAGAAAGATGTCTCTCAACACCACCTAGACCAAAGTCACTACCTGCCTGACAAGAACTCGTGTATTTTCTACAACAGGAAAAAATGTAAAATTGTACCTACTTGCATTAAGCAGTATTTCCAGGCAGAACACATAATCCTCTCTTTACATTCAGCTCTGTGGCACCCATAACAATTCCGACTGCCCTGAATTGATGGATGTGGGTTTAAATAGCATGGACCCTCTCCCGGAGCTGGGCGCTCCCGCCTCCCGATGGAGCCGCCGGACCCGCGGGGGGATGCCCGGGGGCCGCGGTTGCCACGGGCGGCCTCGGTGGAGATGGAGCCCGTGTCACCAGGAGACTCTCGCCTGTCGCCAGGTGCCGCGTCAGCAGCGAGCCCTGGGATGAGCCGGCTTGCAAAAGCATCCCTCCCTTCTCACCCATCCCTCCCGCACGCATCCCTCCCCAGTGCAGCACAGCACAGCTGCCAGCCAGGCTGGGAGCTCCGCTCTGCCAGGAGGAGCTCGCTCGTCCATGGGTGTTTCAGCCTCTCTGGCTCGTGAACGCAGTTGAAACAACAGCTGCGTTCACGCTCCTTTCCAACAAAGCCATTAAGGCAACGGGAGACACTCACTCTGCACTCTCCTCCTCCTCCTCTTTCCTCTTTTCCTCTTTCCTCTTCTCCTCTTTCCTGTTCTCCCCCTCTTTTTTTCTCTTCTTCTCCTTCTTCTTCTCCTTCTTCTTCTTCTCCTCCTTCTTCTTTTCCTCCTTCTTCTTCTCCTCCTCCTTCTTCTCTTCCTCCACCTTCTTCTCCTCCTTCTTCTCCTCCTCCTCCTTCTTCTCTTCCTCCACCTTCTTCTCCTCCTTCTTCTCCTCCTCCTCCTTCTTCTCTTCCT